CCTTTAATCCCAGCACTCGGGAGGCAGAGCCAGGTGGATCTCTGTGAGTTCGAGGCCAGCCTGGGCTACAGAGTGAGCTCCAGGAAAGGTGCAAAGCTACACAGAGAAACCCTGTCTCGAAAAACAAAAAACAAACAAGAAAGAATGCTGGGGGGAAAAAAATAAATAGAGGCTGGTGGGGAGAATTCTGATGACTTAAGCTCTAAACAACAAGAACAAATGTCCCTCTGTCAGGTGTCAGAGTATTGTTCTAGGGCCTCCAAAGTACAGGTAGTAACAGATTTGCATAGAGCTCCCAGATTTCCTAAAGAGCATTCTCCAAAACATGGTGGGGGGGACAGCAAATAAATCTGGGGATCTCTGTTTTAAATAAATGTAAATATATTTTCATATTAAGGGACTTCTCAAGAGCCTTTGATATGGAAAGACAAAAGTAGAACTAGATGTGCAGTGTTTCCCAATACCAAGCGATAAGACTCTGAGGGAAGTATATTTTCGTCTGGTCTTCTCAATTTTCTCTTCCCCATTGAAGGAAAAGGCAGACTTACCTTACTTGTCTCAGGGGAGACTCGTGGCAAGACCAGTTGGATTTCATCTCCAGATCAGAGCTACAGAAGCTGGTTTGGGGGCCACGAGAGCAGAGACAATATTCCCTACTCCTAACAGAGTCAAATCTTTAGCAGGGGATCCCAACTTCACCCAAACTCCTGTGTCCCACAGTACAGAAGCATCAGGGAGCCCACCACAGAGGGTGTAGGTTGGACTGTTGAGCATCTCTAGAGCAGAAACTGCTGTGGGCAGCATCTCTGTAGACGAATTTCACCAACTCTCAGCCGATCCTGTTTCCTCAAACTGGAAGCCTCTGAGTTCTCATCCGAATAGATTTCAGCTGAACTGTTGCTCAAAAGCCTAAAAGCTTAAAAAACCTAGTTCCTGGTCCTCACGCTTTAATAGACCTTTCTGTTTCCTGACATAACTTCCTGGTATTGAGGGCATGTGTCTTTCCCAAGTAAGACATGAGTTGTCAAGTGCTGGGATTAAAGGTGTGTGTCACCATGCCTGGTTGTTTCCAGTGTGGCTTTGAACTCACAAAGATCCAGATGGATCTCCGCCTCCAGAAGGCTAGGATTAAAGGTGTATGAGTCTGTCCTCTATGTCTGTCTACTGGATGTTCTGTTCTCTGACCCCAGATAAGTTTATTAGGGCACACAATATATTGGGGGACACACTGTCACCACACATCTCAACTGCTTTGGTGCTCTGTAAGCCCACAGAGTCTTGCAGAACCCTTCTGGGGAAGAAGACTGGAAGGGACCCAAGTATGTCCAAATGGGAATTTCCCATTGACCTGGACAGATGGCAGAGTATAGAAAATTAGGAAATGAAATATGTCCCTGTACAATCAAGATAGTACACTGAAATTCATATGTATTAGATAGATTTATCCATGGAGTTCATTTTGTTGATTATCTCACATAAGGAAGCCCTGGGGTGGATTATCCCAGTTTATCAGAGAAACCCTCTGATCAGCATCTTGACTCAAGATCTATTGCCTCCTGCCATTTTCTGAATAGAATTAGAGGAGGAGTGGATGGGGTTAGGGGGTCAGAGGTGAGGTACAGGGGGGATTGGGAGAAGGGAGGGGAAACTATGGTCAGGGTGTAAAATAAATAAATAGATTTTAAATTTTTAAAAAGGAAAAGAAGTGAGGAAATAACTAAAAAAAAAGTTAAAAAATTCATAGCTGGGTAAGTTATTTTCTGTGAATATCTGCTTCCTTACCTAGAAAATGGGAGTAAGTATGTCTTACTTACAGATACCTCCAAAGACTCTTTGAGATACAGGTTTAAAAATACTTGGTAGTGTATCCTAATAGGGGTGTTTATATAAGCAGTGGCTGAGACAGATGAGAGGGGGCTTATCTCTCTCTCTGGAGCACTGAGTAGGTATTATACAGTGTTAACTCAATCTTAAAAATCAGTAAAAAAAAAAAAAAAAATAGCATTACTCTTAAAATCAGTATTACTGCCGGGCGGTGGTGGCGCATGCCTTTAATCCCAGCACTCGGGAGGCAGAGGCAGGCGGATCTCTGTGAGTTCGAGGCCAGCCTGG